CATCAAGCAGTGGTGGTTGGTTTGCGGCCAACAAATTAGTCTAACTTTTAAGAAGCAATTTTACCACGTGTGCCTCAACCCCAGACTGGATAGCTAGCGGACTGTGTTTCTCAGGCCTCTGTGCACTGAATCAAACTGATGAGATGGACAGTGTCTCGTGGTCATCCTTCCATATAGCTCATTAAATTATCCAGTACGATATGGGTAACACAGGTATCACGAGGTACCTCTCCCTAGGGGAAGAGTACTATATTTTCCTATTTAACATAGCTGGACACCTCAGTTCACTATATCTGTGGCTAAATTTATGGTGCGTGTGTTAAAAGACTCCGGTAAACTCGACTGTGTGTGTGTTTAAGAACTACGATCTACCCACTGCATCTTTGAGCATTCCATCAGATTCTGTGGCTTAAAGACCATACCGTTCTGACTGCCAAATTTCGGTAAAATCCACCACACTTGTTTTGATGAAGCACTAAACTCGACGCACATGTGTTGTGTACCTGATAAAAGATTAATCGCGCTAAACCCCTCACATTCGTCACGGTTACACCTTTTCCATTCCGTGCAATTTCCATTCGCGCAGTTTTCTGTGTAGACAATTACTGCCCTTCTAAATACTACCGTGAACCATACTAGACGAAGTGGTGGACGCGGTTTCCCCCGACTCGTCGGCGGGATCGTGAAGAAACCTTCTGCCCTTCCAAAAACGAGAGGCCAGTCTAGCATCGGCCCCAATCTTTAGCCTGTTTGCTCCATAATCTTCCTTTCGCGCGGTTAAAAAAATCGCCCCAGATTGGTCTTTTTTGAGACAATTCTTGCATAATACAATGAATTAACGTCAGGACAGAAGGAACAGATTTTGAGGTTCTAATTCAAGTATTTGGAAGAGTTCTGGTCACAGCTGTTCAAACCAGATGAACGGTATTTTTCCCGACAAAATGAACAAGAATCAGCTTCACCAACCCAGTCTGGTGATATCAGCGCCGAAGTGTGGCACCTAGAGTAACAGGAAATATGTAATGCATAGGCAAAAGTGAGCCAAGAACTCGTATGCTTGCCAGTGGGAGAGATACCGGCGGTTTTTCCAAAGAATGTTCCACTATGTAGAACTCGTTCTATACCGTGGCAGCAATCATGTCTAGCTAGAATGTACTTTGGACATTGATCATTGGACTTCCAAAACCAAGTTGCCGTGTTGTGTCGTACGTGAGACCATGCTCGAATGAGCCATCTGAAACACAGTAAAACATCGCGAAATGGACCCATTTGCAAACAAATTTGGTTTTTGCTAGTGACTCACCTGGAACCCAGCTGAACCCCTCGTTTGTGGTGTGTCCAGGCAACAGGCCGCCTCATGTTTCTGTCGCTACGATATTCGAGATATCGCGATATATGTATGTTCGCAATGCACTCATAAGGTTGTCGACGAATTTTCAGCAACCTTATGAGTAGTGCATTACGAGTGGTAAAACATAGTAAGTAGCAAAACTAGCTTTCTAATGGTTGTGCAACCAATGAGTGTCGTTTCTTACCCTACTTTACATGTTAGCATGCACAATGTGACATGAAACTCATATATTGACTGTGTGCATGCAACCTCACTCATTTTCGAGAATAAATTAGTTATTTTTTCATGTTTCACATATTTATCACAATATTTGAAATGAAAAACGCAAAGTTACATTCTTCAGTGTTTGAGAAGAGTGGGAAGACAAACAAACTTCTTAGCTAGGTAACTTAATGGTTCGTCAAAATATTTATTCACTGACTTATTTGTTTAAATGGATGATTTATTCAAGTGGTTCTTTCTGGGTGTTTCAGCTCAGCCAAAAGCCAGAAACATTATTCATTAGTGTGACTTCAGCAAGTAGATTTCGGCAAGCACTATCGAATTCTCACGAACTGTTGAACTGATGCACTTGGCTAATATTTACGAAGTACTGACGTCACAGTCGGAATGTTTCAGTGATCACGAAATTTTAGGGCTTCATGCGTCGAAACCAAATATGAGGAAAAATTTAGCACTGCGCAATCGTTACATCCTCATTGAGATTCATCACTGCCGCAGACCCCTAGGAGGAAACGAACTAGTTATTTTTCAGTGAGTCTTCATTATTTTACTTCCAGCTTATGGGTAGTTGATCAGTAACTTGGATAACTTGCTCTGGTTTGAAAACCGTTGGTATTTTGCTCAGTCAGTGGGTCATATAGAGCATAATTATCGTCGAAATTTAGCAACTTGCAACTCATAGGTTTTATGTCAACCACTTTGTCAGTAACCATACATATCCTGACCGTTTTAGGACTTTCCGAAGAAAATCTACGAGCATTTATATCCTGCGGTAGAACTCTCTGCGGAGCGTGCACAAAAACCCACAGAAGTAGACCATCGCTTGGGATCGTAAGTTGTCACACACTCCCAACAGAAGCGTCCAAACTGTTCCCATTGAAATACGTTAAATAGCCAAGAGTTGTTTGATAAGGTATGAGCTGGGCCTCTTGAGGAGTAGGCCACAGAATGAGCACTAAGCTAGGTCCGTCAACGAATACAGTAGATTTCCAATAAGTGGACGCTAAAAAGATCTTTCTAACCAAAATCTTTGTCATGTTTAGGTGAAATTCGACATGAAATTTGCAGTTTTTGAGAAGTGTATTCCTAAGTTCTAAAGAAAGACGCTTCAGTGTCTTGCTCCATCCCCTTAATTTGACACCAGATGGACCTCTGACTATGAACTTGAAAGCCGTGTGGTACAAAATTGGAGTGACACGGAAGCAGAAACGGTAGATAGCACCAGCAGATTTGAGTTTGATTAACGATCAGTCTGCCTGGACACTAGTGCACGAACAAGGTTCACGTTTTGGAAAACCACATTTGATTTTCAGCCATCGTAGACAGAGTGTACTCATCTGAATAGATAAAGTATGATATGGTAGGGTCATTAATCGATTGGGGATCGGTTTGCAAAAGCCAAATTGTGCAAACTGCCACAGGACAACGCAGCTATGGTCTGTGCGTGGTACTATGGACATCAGAATGAAATTGTCTAACGAGTGCTCAAAGAAGCACTCTCTCTATTCCCTGCTGTGATATGTTCTGGCAAGAACCAAGGGCCCGTTAGGGTTCCGGGATCCGACCCCCTTATACACCAACTCACTACTGCGCATCTGATTCACCGGCTTGCATAACCAGATACATAGGTCGTAAATGTGACATCTTTGAACAAGAATCATTGCACATTTTTTCAGAATGGCTTTATTGGTCACATTCTCACTGCTCTAAGTGCGTCTGTACCATGGACTGTACAGATACTTTTAGGATAATTATCACCGATAGGCGCGTGAGTGAACTGACCACGCATTCCATATCTTCAAGCAAACTTCCAATCAATCATACAAGAACGGTGAAAATGTTTGCAGGCGTGAGAATTCCCGGGGGAAGCAGGTGCAACAAGATCTGCGAAATAAGAAGGGTCTATTCAGTATCCCGAAAGGGAATTCACTGGTAATTTCCAACCCAATCGAAAGGTAAATCGTGTCGGCTCATCAGTCGCGTTCTCATCCTGATTAGTGGGAGTACTATGGTAGTGGTGATCACCTGAGATTAGGTCTAACGCGAGGGGGGCGGTTAATCGAAGAGGATGAAGCAGGTATTCATTACGGAAATCTGAAGTCGACAGCAGCAGCGGAGTTTTCCTCGCCGTCGTGCTTTACACAGCGCATACTAGCGATGCTAGTTTGTGACCAGGAATTAATGGTTGATCTGATATCTACTCAAATAAACCGTGCTCATTCTGTATCCGGAACACGACCAGAAAGTCCACCGAATCGGAGCTTCTTCAGCATCGATGGTTCTGTTTGACTGCAATTGTGAATAAAGCTGAGGAACTTCCTACTCAATCCTAGACGAGATTTCTGTAAATGAGGGCCCATAAACGGACCCTACAGGCTAAAGTAGGTATAAGTATGGCACTCTAATATGTATAAGATGAAATGTCGGTGACTGGATTACGTGTGGATGCTACAATCATACTTTCATATAGGGAGAACAACAACTGTCATGTATCCATTCACATACTGGAATGTAATTCCTTTTTTTCCCGCCATCTGTTCGTGACTTGACTCAAGGCGAATGCACAGCAATGAGACCGCGTTAATCGGGTCAAATCTGAATAGCTGAGAAATATGCGTTCTAAATAAGGTACAGCGCATGCAAAGGGTTCACGAAGGAATCAAGATTGTAAGAACAAAAACAATTTTATTCGAATGAGTAATAGGAATGGTAACCAAACAGGGTGGTGAATCAGTCAGAGATGGGAATTTCGTCGATCATTTGGCTACCAGAAACTGGTCAAGACACAGTAAGTGTTGGGAACCCTTGCTCTAGGGGAGCAAATGGGTAGAAAATCAGTCAGAGATGGGAATTTCGTCGATCAATTGGCTACCAGAAACTGGTCAAGACACAGCAAGTGTTGGGAACCCTTGCTCTAGGGGAGAAAATGGGTAGAAGAACTAAGAATCTTCATCCAGTGAAAACGGCTGAAGCCATCGCCGTGTGTCGCCATTTTTTTTAAATCATCCAGTTGTAACACCCTTCAGGTGCCTAGCTGCCATGCCACCCGGAGGAAGCAGGAGGGCTGGGATACTGCCAGGTTGCCCAAGCCTAGACAAGGAAAGTCGAATGGCAGAGGTCGGGTTCGAACCACGGACCTTCCGGTTAGTAAATTCGCGCTCTAACCACTTGGGCCATCTCGCCCCCGTGTGTCGCCATAGGTGTTCCAGGCGTCTGACGCAGTTTTGCTCCTTACCCTGATGTCATTCCCCTGCTCAAACATACACATAGCTTCTTCGCGCGAAGAAGAATAATTTTTCGGTGTTATGATCTGATAGCCTTTGGGCTGTACACATTATAGAGGCTGATGGTCTGAGGTTGTAGGACACGATCCGATTGGGTACATGTTGAACAATCACTCAGGGTCGTCTATCCTCCTGAATCATAAAAGATGGCACAGTTGACACTAGCCAGTGATGCAGTTGCTGGATATAATACACGTAGCACAATCTAGCTAACGCATTAATCATTAACTTTGTAGACAGAGTTTATGTTCAGAAATATCGTATCGGTTTGGGGGTTAGAATTGGCCTTCCTATACCGTGAATATTTCATCAAACTTGCAAAGCTTTAGGGAAATCGGTATCATCAGGGAACTGGTTGCATTTTAGGGGGGAACACTGTAGAGGGGGAGCACTGACTGAGCCCTAGAACTAAAGCAAAAATAAAAAACTAAACAGTATAATGTGTACTGACAAGCAAAAAAGTTTTAACAAAGTACGTCATTTCTTGACATAGGTTAATCTCATTCAGTTTCTGGTTATTAAAGAGGGAAACAAGCTTACGCATGGGTGGGGGTGAGAATAAAATGAATCAGAATTTCATTGAGCATGGTCACTTAGTTTACCTAGTTCACAGAGCCTAAAGTTAACGAGCACTCAGTAGTTCAAATTAGTTCTCTTGGTACGAATAGGTGGACTTCCTCATCAAGTACCGTTATCCCAAATTTGATACTTCCTTTCTAATAAAGAGGAACCTTATTGAGAGCTTTCACTCGCTAAAGGTTCAGTGATGAACACGCTGACAATGGAATACTACCCTTTCCATAAAAATCTCCTTTTGTAGAGATGAGGTCCCTTATTCAGTCTGTCCGTCGTTTTCGTTACCATCCTAGTTGTCGAATGCTTGATTCAACGTCCTACTTTACCTTCTATAAATTGTTGGATGAATCTGACCACAGAACATGTTAATTAAACCGACTGACATGTTTTCGACTAAATACAGTGTCTACCTATTGTGTTTACAGTTTGTAAAGTTGGCGTTGCTAACTTTCCATAATCACCGCCGAAGAAAACGCTTCAGGAAATCTAGGTATTCCGGGGATTAGTGTTCAGATTTTTCGTTGCCCGATGTGCCGTATACCTAGTTCTGTACATTGCGAGCTAGACACGTTGTACGTCCTACTATAAAAAAAGTAGTACATCACAATATATCCAGAAATTTTACTGTATCCGGGTTAGTAAAAATCTCATGGTCAATAAAGCATGTCTGCCTGTGTGCATTACCTTCCCTCCACACACACACACACACACATGAATACACATACACAAATATGGAAGAATTTCACGCAGATTTTGTCGTCCAGACCGCGGGTCACGTGAATTCAATCAATACATGATCTTCAGTGATCCTACAAGGTTTTAACCGGGTTCTGACGAAAGGTCAGTTGTATGTGCAGCGTGAATCTGAAAAGAAAATACTGACACTTGTGATAGTGCATCAAGTTTGTTTATTCTGGACGGCACCGTTATGAAAAATCACATAAAGCCCATAATGGCGAAGATAAATAGGTTGGAGGTAGTCAGGAGAAGTGCACGTGGATCATGTTGGCCCCGGCAGATAAACGTTAATTCCATGTGGAAAATGGTCAAAACTTCAACGGGAGTCTGAAAAGCGCTGACCAAAGGCTTTTGCAGTGCTTGGAGTTAATCAAATTTTTTCAGTATAAAAAGCTGGGAAATAGACAGAGACAGAGTTGGTGTTACTAGACCACCTCGGAACGGTCAGAAGATGTTTGGGGAGGCTTTCCTTGGCAAACGCATCAAGTGTCAGTTTCACCTTGAGGCAATATGACTTAGGTCTGGATTCGAATTTATCCCTGCGGAGTTACACGCTCCCTGGAAACTACTGGCAGCGCGACGTAGATTGCAGATACCTAAGAGGATGATATTCCGCAAATTTTATCAGAAGGGTTGTCTCCACATTTGAGGAGCATATGGTTAGCATGTATGACAGGGAACATGACATCTCTGTTACGTCAGATTGTGTTTACTAACTACATGGCTATCAACTTTTCATGGAAAGGTCAGTAAGACTTCTTTGGTAAGTAAGTAAGTACCAACCACCAGCCCATCGCTACGCACCACTACGCTCCCCAATAACCCACTGATGATGTCGCCTCGATCGGTGATGAAATGTTTGCAATCAAATTGTCCAGCTCATCGAATAAGCCAACGACCATCTACGCTATCTGAGCTACAAACATTTTCTTCTACAGAATAGTCCACACTGTCAGACGCCGCTCAGTGTGGATCTCTGCAGAGCCCAGTTCACAGGTGAGCCGAAATATAGCCAGCCCATATAAAAACCTTCACTCTCCATCTACTGGGATGTACTAAAACGTTTACAGAAACCATCTCCAAATAAACTGTCCAACCATAATTTTTTTTCTATCAAATCCGGACACTTAACCTAATGCTGAGTACTTTTCTTATGCTCCATGGCTCCCGAGCGCCTGTTCCACTTTCTTAGGTTTGATACCGGATGATCCTACCTCCCGTATCCGATGTCCTCCCATTGCTTACCTGGATGAGACAACTTTTCATGTGCACCACTATCGACTGGTAACTTATATCGCTTGAGCTATTGCATAGCGGTGTGTCTCAAGACGTTGGACCCTATCTTAGCACTGATCTGGTGCACCATGCTTGTGTGGCAAATATGTACATTTCGTCACCAGCATCATCACGTTTCACATGAATTTTTGCACTGAAAACTCCTCGCTTCCAACCAGAACTACAGTAGGTTCGGTCGGATAAGACTAGATTAGTAGTTCCAAGCTTGAAAATCGCAGAGCCCTAACAAAGGGTCACGAAGCGTTCTGTCGAGAGCTTTGTGACTTACTTTAGTTAAAAGGGTTACGTATACACAAGGGAATGTTTGACACATAAACCAGCTGTGTAGGTAATGTACTCGGCAAATTGAATATGAAATGGGATTTAATAAAAGCCTCAGTTCGTATCAATCATAACATCCCACGTGAGTTTGTTGAAACAAAGCTGTTTGGACAGAGGGCCGCACAAATAATGTTTCTGACATTCTGGTTCTGATAAACTAATGGCTGAGACCGTTGTCTAACGAAAATCAGATGAAAGGTGACGTCATTGGTGTAGTAGAAACATGCGCATATGGCGTGACATCTTGTGTGATATGTAAACTTGCTTCCATCGTAGATACGTCAAGTCTTCTTTGCAGCTTGTTTGGAATGGAAGAATCAAGTATTATGTGATTCCAAAATAGGCTGTAGGGGTTCACACTGGGGAGGTGAAAGAATCAATTTGGATTGAAAACCTCACAGGTGCGGAAGAGACATTCACCCAGGAACGGTGAGCCTGTGGTTAGACTAATGAAGAGTACCCATTAACCCTATGGAATTAATATTGTGTCGTCCATTACTTTGACATTAGAAATTCCCCACGTTTCTTCTGTCCCTATTTGTAACGCGTGCTCTACCTCTCTGTTTAGTGCGTTTGTATGAACTGGCGTTCATTGTCCCTATTACTGCACTCATTCGACCTTGAGGTCATCCAGCCATTTTGTGTCCGACCTTAGGCACGGTTGACTGTCCCATGTGGGACTCTGTTTGGTCCTTTGGATTGTACCATTATAGTCCAAGTAGACCATTTGTTGTGGACGAGTTTCTACTGTCGAGGCTTGTATATTTTGTGAATTGATATCTTACGTTAATAGTACAGTAAAGAAACCCATCATTCAGCTGTAGCACCCTTTTGGTGCCTAACTGCCATGCCACCAGAAGGAAGCACGAGAAATGGGATACTGCCAGGTTGCTCAAGCCTAGACAGGATATAAAGACCCAGCTCCGACTTTGCTTTGCGTTCCTGGAAGTTCCGATATTAAGGTTTCCCCCGAAAATGCCGTTTGGCCGCTACAAATGTTGTGTCGAAAAATGTGAACAACTTCAGGATGTGAAAGTGACTCCTCAAGTGCCTCAAAAGAGAGTCAGTGGTAAATATCTGATCCAATCGAACGATCAAGCACGACAGTTCATCAGTCGCATTCTCATCCTGATTATTTGGAGAGTCACACTTGTAGTGATCACACGGGTTAACCGGAAACATTGGAAGAGAACGAAGAAAATTCGAAGTTATTAGCAGTGGTGGACTTTTTCTTGCCGTAGCAAGTAAGACGCCTAACTGAGGTTGGTGAGCAACAGCCGACGGGGTGTAGATTACTCACTTGTTACTCAGTTACCTAGTAATTGCATTCACTGGTGTAAATCCTAGGCATTTCGTACCCACGAAATTGGTAGGATGCCAACGCCTAAAGATCCAGTGAGACACCGTTCGGTTTAAAGCTTCTTCGTTACAAATATGAGGGATTATTGGACTGTCAGAATTAGTGGCCGTGACCCAAAGGACATACAGTTTCCGAGAACTCTATCCATTAACCGCACAAATAACGCTCAGATCAACACATCGGGTCTTTGGTACATGAATTGCTTCACGGATACTAATGATCTAAATCTTGGTATCCACCTGGGCATCAGCACTCGAGATCTTTCTGCATCCATGTTATTGGGTGAAACTGGACTCTCAACGTTCGTTTTAGCGGAGTCATAGAATCAGATTAATACCGGTTGTCCGTAGCAGATGTCCTGATTTCCAGCATTATGTTTAATTGTCACTTTTCAGTTGCATGCATCCAACAACTCTAGACAGTGATCCGCTTCAATATGCGCTGTTTATGGTACGAAAACTGTGGCTTCCGTGGTGGGAAACCCTTCTCCGTTCTGTTTGTGCAACTATTCGACGTTATCTCTAGATTATCGAATTCCTGATGCAAGTGTTTCCACTCGCCGCGAGTCTCTAGTTTCTTCGAGGTTGGAATTTCTGTTTGTATGCAATTTTAAGTAAATTTGCTCTCCCTTATAGTAAACCTAACATTTCAGAAGGCTTCGATAACCTTAGTTCGAGCACCCAGGACATCCAATTTAACACCTTGAAGAATCCAGTGTCGATATTTGGATTCACCATGGACATTAAGGCTATACGGTCATATGCACTTATTCAAGCTGTAGAATTATGTGCAGTATGACCACTCAAAAGCTGCCCAGGCTGAGGGACGAGACGTTATCCCTCTGGTTTTCGGGTACCAGAAAAGTGCACGGCATCCGGTGGTGAAGTCCCAAACATGGTTCTGAACGGTTGAGACTGTGAAGTGACTTGCTTTCTGAGTAGCAGTGAAATTACGGGCACCATTCCTGAGCCTACAGCTCAGGAATCAACGGGAAAGATAATCAAGAAGCTCTCATATCTCGACACGCCATTATGCTGATTTAAATGTGTGCAAAAGTGACGCATTCCAGGGAACGAGTCATTAGCGACGTAGGTAATTACGGTGTAGCAAATTAACCGGAAGCTTTGAAGGGTTGACAACCCGGGGACCATCACAGAAAGGGGTAAAGGCATGAAGACGTTTGTCAGACACTGGATCAAATGGACAGGAATTCTGCTGGCGTACGTTGGGGGGTGATGAAAAAGGTGGGAGTGTGAAAGGGTCAAAATGCAAACGCACTAGTGGTTCATCGCACTCATGTATCAGCAAATTGCATACCGATATGATGAACTGATCTAGGTGAAATACGATTTTTATAAACATCTGAGTCATTTGCGTTCCTGCTATTTCACAGTCTTAATTTCCATGAATAGACATGGCGGGGAGGCGGCCAAGCTGACAGTGAGGCCGTCCGTTTTTTAATTCAAAAATTCCAACGCTGAACAGCAGTGAACTGATACCCGCACTGAACCACAACGCGCCTCTATATCACAGCGCACTAAGGAAGTCACCACTAGTGACAGAACGTTTGCAGAGAAATTACCAGGCTCAGCCAACAACTCAATCACTAGCCACTACTTACTGACACCTTGCAATAAAGGACACATTGCCGTCTCATCGGAAAGTGAGCTGAAGTTCGCTCAGACAAACGAATTTGTTCGGCCAGGTAGGGCTTTTTCAGCTCGTTTAAAAATCAATAAGGTGATCATTTTAAATAATATTACGAAGGATTTCATCTTGCAGATGAGGTTTACTTACGTTGAAAACCTGAGAAGCATAGCACCACTGTTTCATCCATGTTAGGGATCATCAGTAGTGAGCACCTAACGAACCTCTAGGGAGGTTCGAACCCGTGACCTTCTGTTTAGCAGCTGAGCACTATCATTCGGTTACGAATGTCTTATCGCCACCGACTGACTAGCACTTTGACAGGATATACTGCCATTATTGTGTGGCGGAACAGCCCATGTTGTGTTTTGAATGGTCCCCCTAGGAAAGAATTCTGGGAAGTAGGCCTCATATGACTTTTGTCGCTGTTTCTTTCCTGAGTAGAATATTAACACGTTGCAATATGGAAGATTCAATTAAACTATCATGGCGCAATTGATCATATGAAGGGAACTGTGTGAATGAAAGATGCTGGCATTATATTCTTTGAAAGTCCTAGTTGATCGCATCGTTAATAAGCCACCTGTGGCCAGATGGAATGATGCTCAGCTATCAACCGTGTTCCCCTCCCACAGATTGGTAAGATGAGCACTGCCAACATCTTAGCTCTGGTTAAAACAGATCTCTGCTAGTGGTTTTCATGCATTCTTGTACAGAGTGATCAAGGTAAGCACGGACTTATGCGCATTAACGATAAAGTATTTAGCAACCATTAGGAACACAAAAACGCGTAAAATGAGAGGGAATGGACGTCTACTGCGCACGTAAATCTGCTTTTAACTATAGAGACTAGCTTCGGAGGAAGACCCTAAAAGTGCGAGTGGCGGTGATTTCTCTGACCTAAATATACTGTAGTTGGAAACCACACCGCAGACCAGCGGATCACAGTTCAGAGATCTGCTACCTAGTCACGAGTCAGTAGTTACGCAGTTAAACGCACTTCTTGCTTTGTAAGTTTTACTGATGGCGTTCACCAAGGCAAACCAGCTTTGTTCGGTTATTTTAGGCCGTCAGTGCTTCAAAGCTCCTCTGTAGTAGCTAATCAGTTAGGAAACAACTCATAGATTGTACATTATGTTTTCTTGGGAATGATCATTCGAGGAGTCGATTATTACCGGCTGACAGCAACTATGTAATCGAAAACAGAGTGGAACTACAGCTTGACCAAACGCCAGCCGATTACACTACTGACCATCCACCCACTGCCGAATGATGGCTTTCCATCCCTCTACCGCCCGCCTTAATAATTCGGATAACGCTTTACAGTAAACTCGAAGTAGGTGTGTTACTTCTTGACTCTCAGTAAAACCATGACACAACTTTGGGTGTCTACTGACACAGTACCCCCCGCCTCACAACGAGCTGCAAATGTTGAGTCGATTGATCATGGGACGTTCGCAAATAAGTGTCAAAATAAACTAACAGTTTGGCAAACAAAAACCAGACTTCCTCTGAATGTCATGTCTCAGTTTCTTCTTCAGACAGCTAGGGATCCTTTTGCACTTTTGTGGTTTGTCGCTGCACCCGATTGGGCTTCAGCAACAAATCAGGTATCCAATCCGATATTTCCATAAGCCAGTCCTGTGGTTCACTAGACCAGACTATATGGCACTGAGTGTTGACAGGAGCGCTTAGAATGCAGAATAGCACATGACCGGTACTAGTGAAGCCGAACATACCCGTTTTATCTAGGGTGCTGGGGAACAAAGCTTGCCTACATGTGACTTACTATCGTTCCTCAAATGTCTTCAAGGGATGCAAACATATCCCCATTAGTACTTGGTGATGGGGAGACCAACTGGCATTAATCGTCTCCAGCAGTCTTTGCTGTTAATGTCCGGTGGCGTTGATATCTTAGTGAGTACTGCACTTTTTCACTTCAACTGAAATAAGTTGTTCAGTAGTCTTGCATCTATTTAGTTGTGACAAACAAGTGCTTCAATTGCGTGAACTGATGAACTGACAGTAACCTCCCATCATATAAGCTATACCTAATCATTAGTTTGTGTGCTATTCACCCAAATCTGAAGAAAAAAATCAAGGAAAACGAAGTTTACGAGATAAATTCATCCTAATTCGATAATTATGGAGTCTTTGTGTGCGGCTTCAGTCTATTGCCCGACTCCATTACATTCAACCAATTATATCACGTGACTTGTTATAAAGTGTTACTTAAACCTAGTCGTCTGTGTTACGGGGTAGTGTGGCGGTAACGTTAGCGGCATCCACTGCCTGATTTTACCGACGAATTTTTCATATAGTTCTTAACCATAGACTATGCCTTTGTTAGTTTACCTCTATGTGTGGGAATGGAAAAGGGCTTCCTGTACGGTTCTGGGGGACTAACCGTCGAAATGATCATTCCCTTGATGAATAATGACACGTCTGGAAGATAACTTAGTTAGGAAACAGTGGGATTAAGCTTTGTGGCTTCTACTGAGATAGCTTATTAGCCCGTTCTATCTCACGTTCACCTGTTCCGCTACAACGTCCTAACAAGAGTAGCAACATATCACAATTGGAAGGCATAAAGGACACTTCCTTGTGCAAATCTGACTATGTACTTTTCCCACCACATGTACTTTGCCACACTTTTACCAATCACTAGAATCCTGAGTATAAGGTCTCTCATCAACGCCCTCATGTAGCTACTAGTGATCAATAACCCAGTCGGGGTTCACGCAGTCTTCGGATTTCAGTTTGTAGAACGAACAGACATACGGAGCAGTTAGAAAAATCAGAATACGGAGCTGAGATCAGTATATCACGATCTCATTTTCAGAACTGCTCGTTGTTCAGTAAACTGGCACCAGTTATAGGATGTTGTTCGTAGTCCAACCTACTCTGCATGTACTCACTGACAAGCCTTAGATGAATATTCACTCGTTAGCAAAAAATGTGCTCCGTGCTTGTTAAATGACCTTTTCTATGATTTTACCTTGTCAAATGAAACTCCATCGATAAGCCAGAACGTGTTTTCATGCAACCCAGGGAAGTACACGTCCAAAAATTAGAAAACGATGCGAATCATATGGTGGAGAAGGCCGTTAAATCTTTAGCTGAAAAAGGTGCAAATGAATCAAACGAAAATGTCCAACGAACAATATCCATTAGGGCGAACCATGATACAATCGCATTTTTATCACAATTTCGGTTCGAGAAGCACAACTGAGGACACCCTTTTTTCACTGATTCGAGACATTCCAAGTCTTAACACTCGTTTACTAGCTGTACTAGTTACGAATTCATTGTCACAACTCAAAAAGCATCAGATTGTGTAGAGAGAGTGTGCGAATGACGTAACATTTGCTTGGTTCCATCCATTATCCACCCCACAGGAGCGATGAATTTGTACCCAGCTGGTGGCTTTACAAAGTCCGTTTGGTGTATGCGTATCACGCAGTGAGATCGTGACGTGAGAAACCATAGGTCATTTGAGTTAAATGAAGGACGACACGCGGAGGATTGCTGTCCGGAGTTGGAAGAGAAAGCACTTGGGACCAATCGGAATTTCGGGATGGTTAAGACTCAGATAGACTAAAATGGCCGGAATGGAATCGTTTGTCAGCAAGTAGAAGTTAGTTTTTTAAAATAGAATTACGCGAAAACTCAAAAGTAAAGAGGGAGTTCTGAGCGCTGCCCGTAACTAGATAACCAGGCATCCACGTTTAAAAGTGTTGTTCATTTTTAGTTGGTCGTCAAATATTTTGAATCGGTCTTCGAGTTTCCTTTCAAACGAAAATGTGGAAAGATTACTGGCAAAATAAAGTTGAGCTACAGCGTGTAATCAATCCTATAGGAAGTCGTATTTAAGGAAACAAGACTGAGGGAAGTGACGACAACGGAAACTTGTAGGTCACAGCAAAGCTGACGCCAATATGCAAACAACGCTGTCAGTCATGTGTATCGCACGCTAGTACCCTCAAAATCAACTCACCGAAACGGACAGGGATGGTGAAAGTTGGACCTGTGGGCCTGTGAAGTTCGGCTTCAAAAACAATCAGTTATAAGTTTTGTAGTAAACACTCAATGTTTCGTGTTCATCCTGGATGGAATCCTATTTCCAATCGGTGAACTTGCCCCCTATTTCGTGTCTAGCGACTCGATCATCCAAAGTGAGTCACATAATCGACCATTTCGAAACTTGTAACAGTTCATTATCTAGGATTATTCATGCACCCAGCGCTATACATTATGCATTTGAGAACATAGTTAGAAGGAAGGTAAAGTGGGATATAATTAGCCCATATTAAAACGCATGCTCAAACTTATCAAACTTACTCAGCAACTCAAGGTACCCTGGGCATAAAGCTGGTGCACCAGTCAATAAACGCTGTTTATTCATCTATTTACAACTAGGTATGTACCACCACTGGACATGGTACATCACCTTCCGTTCAGTTCAGGACGATTATTGTCGAGACTTTTTCTCTTGTGACAGGATTTCTGTTTGAAATTCCTTAATTTCGAGACTTCGGTTTTAGCACGTTCAGTTAACACATCGTAAGCCGAAGACACCTAATCTGTGGAATTAGTAGTCCTGATAATTAGTGTCCATCAGTGGAGATCACCTGAACCCATTCTTCGATTCAAAAGAGCGAATATCACTCCAGAACAGTCTAACACACTCAACTGTTCTGTTCCGATGTCACTAGAGCTTCTACGTAGAATTTGGGGTCAGAAGTCTGCTGGGTTAAATTTGCTCACATTGATACGAACAGGTATATTGAGCCACTGGATACGACAACTTTAAGATCGACCTTCGACAAGATGAAAGGGGTGGAAATCAACCCCTTGGTAAGCCAGTGAAACGTTCGACGGAACGCAGTAATGAGTGGTAGAGTGAACACACTCAATATATCGACAAACATACGCGCAGCTGACTGTCAGATTTCCTGTGAGTTCTTCAGTATTTTGAACCATTACAACAAAAATAATATAAAATTAGGTGGAACATACTTGGGACCGATTGAATAGTCATTGCTTTCGAAGAAGTTTGGTGTCAATCGGTAGATTCATTGCTGGGCAACGTTCTGCTTTTGACACAAGAGCTTCGTCAGGGTGACTGACTAGGTTCCGGGGTTGTTCGAGATTTAAGGCGAAAGAAGAACCAATCCGCTAAGCCAAGCTGAATCTCTGTTGGGTGTCGGCCGAGGGGACTTTGTGTGTTAGGGTGGGTGAACAAGAGTTGGGTCGATGGGGAAACCTACACGTCTTTGGGTCCAGCCTAGGGTCTAGTTCTTCTGGTTCGACCCACTTGATGGTCCCTCTTGAACATCGTTTGAACCTTCTGTCGATCTGCGCGGATGAGCTAGTGCTAAGCTAGCGAATATACACTCATCTGCAAACTAATTTGGCTCTTTCGAGAGGCTCACCTGGAACCCAGCTGAATCTCTCGTTCATGATGTTCTCAGGCAACTGAATGTGCTGCACCAGGCCGCCTCATGTTTCAGTCGCTACGATATTTGAAATATCGCGATACATGTATATT